TTTTATTTTACTTGGCTCGGTTGAGCTGTTGCAGATGTTACTTATTACCAAGAAGGTTGCCGGTTCAAACCCAAGTCAGGGACCTTTCTGGTCACAGATTGCATGTTCTCTTCATGCATGCATGGGTTTTCTCCGGGCACTCCTCCCACAGACCAAAAACATGAATGTTAGGCTATTTGATGACTCTAAATTGTCCCTAGGTGAGRGTTACAGAGTGAATGGTTGTTAGTCTCATTTGTCTCCATGTGTCCCTGTGAAGGACTAATAATCTGTCCAGGGTGTCCCCCTCACACAGTCACTGTTGGGTGTGGACACTACCTGTGACCCTGAAAGGAAGAAACAGGTATGGAGGATATCACTTTTAGCTTTTAGATACTGTTTCGTGTCAGTCTTTTGATATGTTTAGCTTTTAGCTAGCAATTAGCTTTTATCTAGTTACTTTAGCTTTCAGCTAACCTTTTGACACCTTTAGCTTTTAATAATCATTTGCCACTTCTGACTAAAATTTTAACATTTTTAATTTTTAGCTAGCTTTTTTCTGTTAGTGTATTGCTACTTTGAGCAAATGCTTTACTTCTTTAAGATTTTAGCTATTTTTGACCTCCTTTTATATTATATCTAGTATATGACTGCTTTTGCTTTTAGCTTGTGTTCAGCTTCTTTTATTTTTAAACTCAGTTTCTGCTCCTTCAGCAAATTTCCTTTAGTTTGGGCCGTTCTTTTAAAATAATCTACGCTGACAAAATGCCAATGTTTTTTTTTTCTGTATAAACTGCATAAGATGTGTAAAGAGAAACAAGATCAAAAGAAATGTTAACGCCGCTGCCAGTGGCTCATTAGGGCCTCCATGGTAACCACACACRTCTGTCATGCAGAGAAGAAATTAAGCCTTGGTTTCCTACACGAACTATAGGTTGTATTGCAAAAGCATCTGAGCCTAATAGTTGTGAGACATGTTTGTGTTTTTATGTCTCTGCAGGGTTTTATGTGGGAGATAAACAAGTTAAACCAACTCTTTACTTCACGAAGATCTGAGCTCGAATAAAATGGAAGTCAGTCAGAGTTTGGATGTTACACAATGCCTAATAAATTGTATAAGAAAATTAAATTTGGGAAAATAAAGAAGCTAATTCTTTGAAAAGTTAGAACAGTTCTAAAGCTCGTACTAAGCTGAACATTTCACTGTTAAAATACTGAAAATCATAAAACGTAATTTGTGATTTTGCAAAAACTGCTCTGCTCTATTTTCTGTTGACCCATTTAATTCCTGAGTACTGTTACGACAGTGAGTGAAATGACCGTAGAACTGGGTTTTCTCACTTTTTTCTATCGGAAATTTGTCTCTTTTTTATTTTTTGAGTGAGTGTTTTGCATCCTGAAATGTGCTGATGTATTGCAAAGCTGTATGTGGGAGAGTAAGTGAATCAAAATGCACAAAAAAGTAGTAACAATAAGAAAAATAGACCAACAAAATAGCAATGTGCTGTGGTGCAACCTGAACAATCGTTTGGCCACAACAGGCTGAAACAAGAATTCTGAAAACTACAATTTAAATCTTTTCTTTTTGACATTCAAACTAACTTAATGCGATGAAAAGAGCTCAGAAGACAAGCAGAGCTGCAGAAAAGATGTGGCTGTTCTTAGAGCGAGCAGACTGACGTGGTGACAGAGGAGGGTCCTCATGTAAGCTGGACATGAAGGCAGCTCTCTGCCAGACCCTGTCCTGCTGCTGCTGCATTGATCTGAGG